TGCGGCCTTTGTTTGGTCATCGCTCATTGAGTGTTGCAAAGTGATAAACGTCTACGACGGGAAGGACATTATCGTGCTGTCCACACTATGATGGCGCACAGTGATGTTACTGAAATAGTGTTCTATGACGACATACCCGATCTGAGCTAGCCAAGTACAACAACACCCATGATAAAGGGAGTTGTATTGAATATTCTATCCTGGATGTTATTGGAACGTCTAGATTTGCATGTATTTTACTACCCATCAAAAGTTTAGACTCACTTAAAGCACTCACTATATGTTACGTATATACATATGGTTACATCAAAAAAGAATATCTCCACTAACCTGGGGGAACCAACTGCAAATAGTATACATATGAATTGCACGAGGATCATGCATCAAATTGCTGTAAAGCATGTGCAATATATCGTGCATGTGAACAGCTGCGTTTTGGTGAAAAGTTTTGTTAAGAATTCGCCAATTTTCACAGATTTTCATCATTATTGAACTCAAGACAATAATCTTTTCAAAGTTACAAATTTGTTTTACAATACTTCCGTTCATGTGTAAACAATACCTTTAAAAACAGTAGGGAATATTTTGCAAAATCTAGTTTAGAACAGTTGACTGGGGTAGGTGGCTACATTTACACTAGTGAGTCTAAACTTTTGATGGGTAGTACATATCAGGCACATCGACCATAACATTAAAAAAACTAACCATGAACACGTCGAGTCAAGGTCTTACATCATACCCATAACGCCAAAGATTATAATCCGCTAAGCACACCCATATTTCAAGGATGAGGGATTACCCACGGCCTGTCACCAGGGGCGATATTTGTTAGTTATTATGATTCATGGATATTCTTCATCCTTTCGGTATATTTGATCATCACACCTACACAATCGAGCCTTCAGAGGCTGCCGTTACATCCGACAGGAATAACAGTCTTCACTCATCACCCATCGTAACATTCCCCTCGACTTGCCCCTTACCACAATCTGCACTTGGCTTGACACGCCTGGTCACGTATTACATCGTTCCGATCCATCACGGGTTATTTTGAGAGGAAGTGAGCAGTTGCAACACGTTCGGTGTCCTGGAAGACCCATGTGGCCTTATTGTGTGTCAAAACCATCTGTGGTAGTTTCAGTGGACCGACCTGAACCGTGATATCATAACGTGACTCGGTCTCCAGCAGCTAAACCTTTGTCTTGGCCCACTATACTGATGATTAAATATGAAATAATGAACAGAAATTGCAATTGTCCAAATTGATTTTAATCACCGTATGTTACATTTTTTGGAACTTATATGCGGTGAACGGTTGGCATTAAAAAAGTATCCTTCGTACAAAAGTAAAAAAGATCATTAGTCTTTTGGGACCCTTTAAATTTCCTCTATGACACATACAGCTTTCTGTTGGTCTGAAAATGTTTACTTACGGCGTGTCGAAATGAGGCTGTGATTGATAGAATTGCCACGTATAATAATCAGTGATGAAGTAATGATTTTAGACCGTTGGGAATTCAGCTCAACGAGGCAATATCTCGTGCATGTGAGCAGAATAGACAAGGAGGAGGGTGTCACGTGCAAGTATAATCAGCTTGTTCAGGGAACCACGGTCATATATCTCGAATACAAACAAAACTTACAGGCCACAGCACTGACTAAGTAAAATTCCAACATTAATACCAACTCAAACACTCGCTCAACTGTGCTGTGCAGAACAGAAAAAAAACAAGAAGCCTTGTAAAGTTTATAGCGCAATACATTGTACGATAAATCGAACTATGCGTTAGTGCCAGATACTGTCGAAATACATATTGATGCATGAACAGCAAGAACATCAATACATCATGCATAATATGACAACCGAGGCAGCCAGGGGGCGTGGATCAATTTCCCCATAATGCTTGGGATGGTTTACTCTTCATGGTTAACTGCTATTGGCCCGTGAAAATCCGGGGTAGAATAGATGTTCAGCAACCCATGCTTGCCACAAAAGGCGACTATGCTTGTGGTAAGAGGCGACTAACGGGATCGGGTGGTCAGGCCCGCTGCCTTGGTTGACACATGTCATCGGTTCCTAATTGCGCAGATCGATGCTCATGCTGTTGAACACCGGATTGCCTGGTCCAGACTCGATTTTTTACGGCCGCCGCCATATAGCTGGAAAATTGCTGAGTGCGGCGTAAAACGTAACTCACTCCCTCACGCATACATACAATCTAACGTCATGTTCAGCTGAAGTGAACCAAGCTCTTCTAGAGAGTGAGTGAATATGGTCTTACGCAACTTGTGTACATTTTTTCAGCGCTGTCATACATTTAAATTGGCATATACGTTTTGACCATGTCCCGAATCAAGCCCAGGCGGTGGTTCCTATCGCTGTACCTACTAGGCTACCCTGCCCCCCTGGCGACACCGATTATAAATGTGTGGACATCTTCTTCAGATCGACGTCATCCCTAATTCGGGGTTTCTTGACTACCGTTGTCTGAAATATCATGTTGTTTAACCCCGAATTAGTGAAGGGTTTCATCACAGCGTAAACGTACTTCTGTGGTAATCTGTAGTTTTCGATGGTTTCCTTTGGTTCTAATCTCCACGCAATACCAGCAATTCACTGTGACATTGCTCTATATTTGAAGTGGATATCATCGTATGTTTTGCGCCACCTTTGCGTCAATTATTTCCTGTCGAAAATCAACATTGCATAATATTAACGTTCGTTGTGCGCCACCTTTGCGTGTATTATATCCTGTCGAAAATCGACAGAGAATACTACATTAATTCGGCAGAGAACATAAACTGATTCTTAATTTCGTGTCATATGTGTAAATGACATCAACGTACATGTTGAGGAGAACAGGAGATGCAACATCTGGCGGCAGTCGTAAACTAAGTCTGTAAATTAACACTGTCAGTCACTGTCAAAAGGATAGAATTGAGATGGCCTTGTATTAAACGATTTCCATGTGATGCTTTTAACTTTGTTCCGATTAATCGGAGAAGACAAGAACTAATATCCTGGCTTGACAGCTTGGTCATGGATGGAGCCAGCGATCGGTTTCAACTACACACAGCCCGAACCTCCTGATCTGAACGACTGGTGACAAGCGCCGGAAACTAGGGGAGATTACACGGCTTCATTTAACCTCGTGATGAAGTAGACAGAGACTTACCCTGTCTTTACACTCACAGGCAATAGCATTATGTCCAAATAATGTCAGACTTGCAGTAATCACAGCCAAAGTGTTGATAGTCGTTGAGTGGGGCACATGTTGCATGTGTTGACGTCCAAGGAACCAGGATCCGCTGTGCTGAGGCGCCTCTTTAACGCGCACCAGGAAACCAGCTCAAATAGTTAGGAACTAGTGTTTTCTCTGAATTTTGCAGTTCTAAAATAATGTTATTTTAGTGCGTTTGATACTTTTCTTATCGATTACGAAACGTTTTGTTAATTTATTACATTTTGTAATTGTTACCCTGCCTCGTCTGGTGGCTTGAATTCTTATTTGTAGATGCATCCAGTACGTGACATGATGCGTGACAGAGTCGCCTTATTGATACCCTGCATAGCGAATTGTCGTTGGACAGTGTGGCGTCCCTTAGTCGTGTAAAAGAATTGCTGGTCTTCTGGTTATCAACGCTGTGTTTCATCACCACACAATAAGTGTGTGTGAATATTTCGCCCGACTACACGGCTGCGTGTACTCGACACGTCGGTGGCTGATCACCAGAGCATCAAGTACACCAAGGACCACACGAGAAGGATAGGATATCATACAATAAAACCTTAAAGCCACAGTCTTAAAGATGCAGTCATCTTCTACAGCAAACCAGTAAGCATACGAAACAGACATGAAGTTTGGCACCTTGGTGGTAGTACAAGGTAGTTAATATGGGTGAATATCGCAATGGCCATATCTAGCCTGACGCATCAGTCCATTTCAACTGGGTGAACCACCCGAGTGCATGCAGCACGTTTGTTTTGAAAACGTGGACCTGACGGACAATTTACAACCTGAGGACATGTGTGCATCGAAAGGGTGTGACATCTGATCGCCCCAGGAAGGACGACAAATCAAATTCGACTACGTCATTTGCGTAATCATTTTACGACCGCAACGTACCAGTAACACACTGCTTAGACTCGCCCAGACCATGCGAAACCGCTTGCGCCCTGCCCGACGTCCTTATGTTGGGCCGCTTCTGACACAGGTAAAGCAAAACGAACGTCTATGCTGGACATAACTGCACCTGAAAATGCTCTTATTGACGTCCTGGAGTGCCCATCGAGATTATCTGACCTCAATCACATTGAACACATTGGGATGCTCTTGGTAGAAGTCACCATATGACGTCAACCCAAGAATGTTTAAGAACTGAGCGACATGTTAGTACAGCAATGGCGTAGGTTGCCTTATGCGGTGTTCAGGGGTCTCAGTCTCGTGACAACCTTGCCTTGCTGCTGTGAAGGGGGTGGGGGTGGGGTGGGTGGGGTGGGGGCTAACGTGGTACTTAACAAGCTCCAATTCAGATGGCTATTACCTGTGAAATAAAACAGTGACCCTGTAGTGCTACTGTTGACTGTAGAGAGCGCACTTTTTATTATTATTATTATTATATAGGATATTTATATATATAGCGCACATATCCACGCAACTAGTGCATGCTCAAGGAGCTGGTATTTTTTACTTTAATGTTTAATCCTGTTTTAGTACACGCTCATTACGTCCATAAACCAGATTTCTCCATTAGCAACCATTTGTTCTATATGGGTATGTTTGGGACGTAAATGAGTCCATGTTTCTTTTTTTGTTTGTTTAGTATATGTTTCTATAAATCCTGTTGAGAAAGGTGAACGTAAATCCGTTTTACCAGTGGTGTACTTATATCAAGTACGGTAACTGCGGATAACATCTAAGGGGAGCAACTCTGCCTTGTAAACACCGTGACGTCATCCTCATAAAGTATTAAAGACAGAAAAAAAACAATCGACTTACCTGATATTCCTTGATAGGTCCACCATTTCGTCCAAAGGTCACCTGACAAATAAAGAAAATACGTGTAACAGTTATAATCACATAAATGCATTTTATACTGTAATACGTTGATGTTTTCATGGCGACTGTAGGGGATACCTACAGACAAGTTATACTAGGCACCTCGTCTTCCATATCGACCCAAAACATTAACTGGACACATGAGCTAATGCAACCTTAACTGATGTCGAGACACATTAATACGATCAACGCCAAGCAGTCAATCTTCCAAGATTCTGGTGCGACGCCTGGTCCCTGACGGGCTTTACTCTATCACTAGGTATTGTAACACACACGGGTTATCTGTGTGTGCAGTGGTTACACACACAACGTATAGAGTACCATCACCATTAGGTTCCTGCTGAGAGCTTCCTCTCCCATAATGAACCTGTCTAATTAACGTTGTTCGTGCACCGTGTTAACTCATCAAACTGGTTGCTGTCTTTTGTCAAATAGGGAAGACAGACTTGGCATATGCGTACGTCACGTTACCGTGATGTTTTGTTGGGATGAAAAGGACACAGAACAAAAACCATTTGATCAGCGGAGAACACGGGTTCTAATTTCCTGCTGTCATTAAGCCAGTAGATTTTGGGTCTACACAGAGTCGTCTTTTAAACAGGTAGACGTTGGAACTGTTGGCGAGATGTAATATTAGGATAGGTGTTCCAAGTATTCCGTCAGAGATAACATGCATCAACACTTTGATTTTTGCAGATATCTTGTGATCAAGATGCAAGCAAGGTCTGCAATATTATGCTTTGCACCTCTAATCAAGCTTAATGCCATGCAACGCTCAGTAATGTTTTGTAATGATCGGCCCTATATTTTGCTAGTCTATGCTAGTCCGTGCCCTGTTATGCTAAGTTGGCCTGACCTAGCCTAGCCTGGCCTAGCCTGGCCTACCCAACGCTGTGCTATACTGACTTAAAGGGCCTCCTGATGTAGTCTGTCTGATATAAAGTCTGCAAACTTTTGAAGTTCAAATGTGAAACTTTTGAGGACTTTCTGTGGACAAACAATACATATCCAAAATCAGAATGCATCATTCAGCTAAATAGAAAGTTTGAACAAGAAAAAATAACTTGATTTGAAAATGACAATTACTAACAACAAAACATCTTCCCACCTTGGGCGATACTTTGTAGGCCCCGCGTTGGAAACCTATATGCGGATTGCCTTATTTGCAGCAATTAGTGTCCGTCCACAGCATATGTAAGTTGGCATCGCTGTCTGCGCTATTGATATTTGGCTTGTAGCGTCCCGAGATATTGCAAATAATTGACACCGTGATGGAACGGCGTAATAGCGGAAGAATAATCACTTCACCCCCGGGCTACCCCGCAGCGAACTTGCGTCTCTTTTGGAAGCAGTAATAGGGATGAGGTGGTCTAAAAAATTACCCAGATTATTGACAGATTTGACTGCCTAGTCAATTATATTATCACGAAGGCCATTGTATGAGATGATCCTCATGTGAGTTGGAACTAGAGTCAACTGATTGTTTAGTGAATTAATGGACCTCACCGTGAAAGAAAATGGACGGTTGTATCAATCAGGGAAGAAGAGACAGTCGAGTTTTGCAACCAAGTGATTTAACAGTGATTTGTGTTTCGGTTGCAGAGTCCATGACGTCAAGGTGAATGCCTTTTTTTAAACTTCTGATATAAAGCTTTGATCACCTTGCGAATGTTTATAGGTAGCCACACGCCTTCCATAAATTCACCTTTGTGACAAATCATAAAAACACAGCGTCAGAGGCAGCGAGCATTATCTTGATTACCCGCCTGAACAGATTTCCTTTGGCGTAAAAGGCAAAATATCTGATCAAATACAACAAATGGATCTGATACATGTTCTTCGTGAAGGGTAGTTTGAAATATATGTATATATATACTCATGCCAATAATGGTTGTCACCCACTCCCAACCCCAACCCCACACACACCTCACACCCCCACCCCACAAACCCCTCTCCAATTAAAAAAATCGAAGGGGGTGACAACCATTATTGGCATGAGTATATGATTTTACGCGGGTTGTGCAATATTCCACCTTCACAAGAAAGTTTCTTCACATCCGATCCTTCGACTGACGAGCAATTATTTTATCGAGAAGGTTACCCCTAAGCCCTTGGCAGGAATGATTTGTTCTAGTCTGGAATGATGGTCTTCACGGGTTTGAAAGTCAGACAGGAGTGTCATGGAGTTAGTCAGAGTGGCTTTACACCAGTCATATCACGGCGGGACACATTACGGTCATGAAATGGCCCCAATCAGGATTCGAACCCTTACTTCATATCACGAGCGAACGCTCTATCTTACCGTATGGAACAAGTTTTTATGGATAACAACTTCTTTATTTCGTGAGTGCGACGTTTCGATACAGATTCTTGTACCGTTGTCAAGCAAGAGTGATACATGAAGTGGAGGAGCTGCATATTTATGCTGTGTATAACAATGAAACTACATACATTGTAATTGACAAAGGAAGCAACATAATTGCTCCACCAAGCCCAATCTATTGTATAAACATCGCACCTATTGTATAAACATCTCCTTCATTGTACCACTCCTGTATTTATACATCTCTGGCTTCCATTCACTATCCTTTGTGTACTCACTGGCTTCATCAGCTTACTGCTTAACCAATTATGGCAATTATGTTGTTTCCTTTGTCAAATTTGTCACATATGCTTTCTTTCATATTTTAGACTTAATCAACTACGTAATCTGAATTTCCCGAAGGATAACAAAATGTAAGCTCATCTCATCTTATCCTATCTCTCGTAGAGTTTGTCTCGAGTACTTCGAGTTTCCTCAGTTTCTACGCTTGTAACAATGGCGTCCACAGAGTGGGCCGTGGCTGATCGTGTATATGTTTTAATTGTTTACAGGCTGCCGACGCCAAAGATGGCATGTTGTTTTACTCTTTCTTCACATGAATGTAATGGGGATTACCAAATGTTAGTCATAATACACAATGTTGTTAGATAAGGTTACATTAGAAAACCGCACAGTCTGTTGTATTCATCTTATATGGGGAGGAATAAGAAACGTTGATTTAAATCTGATTCAAAATATATTGCTCTGATATCAGTGTTGATTATCTGTTTTCACTGGCACCAGTACCGACTCACGCAACATCAAAGCAACTGGGAATGTCAATGTTTTCTTTTGTAACAATTTCAGTTCGCCATTGCTGTGCGGTACGTACATGCGCATTCTTACTAATGAGAATTGATAATGAACATTTGTCATTCATATTGCTTAACTAAAAGAAGATTGCATTGAAACTTGTGAAACTTAATGGTACCATAAAAAGATATGTCATCTGACATTGGCACTAACCTAACGAAAGCCTAAATGTTTTTAGAAATGTAACACTACATGTACGTACATTAATCTGAACAAGATTGGGAAGGCAGGAGGTTTGTATCTATTTAAGGTTCTTATCTCATCGACATCGTATGAACTATGAATTGTTTGTTTCTTCACACAATCACACATGTACGAACATGGAAAGGCACGTTTCTGAAATGGCTTGTCATAGACGCATTGTGCTGGCACGCTTGCTGACCTTCCGATCTCACTCTAACGGGAAGTAATGTCCATCCTCCTTGCAGGTTAACCCATCCTTCAAACCCGTCCACTTTTCTACACACAAGCTGTTTCCCAGCACTGTGCCTCCACTGTCAACATTCAATTTTCGAAGTGCCTTCGTTGCGAAAGCAATTAGATTTCTCAGCGGTGCGATAACGTCCTTACACGAACATGTCTGGGAAGGTGTATGTCTTTATGAAATGATCTTCAACCAACTGCAGACATATTGTGTGGGTAATATGGCTCTGCACCTTGAGTCAGTTGTAAAACCTGATTACCACGTTCAGCAGGTGTGACAGCGTGTTGCTATACTATATATGTCCTCATACCCACGTCGTGTCGTAGGAGCTGACCTATGTAGTTCCGGCGGTTAGCCTGACCTGATCATGGTGAGTCTTTTTCCCCAGACGATGTACCTGTTGTGTGTTGTCAAATATGGACACAATTGTTGTTTATCATAACGAACATGAAGCTACATTAAGGTACATTGTAGTTGTATTGGTACTTTGAATGCCCATGATGGTATACGCACCTGTGTCACCGCCTATTATGTTGCTGCCAAAGACTTATTCATATTCTTAGGTGCTTTTTAACTTCAATCAAGATTGGCCTCTGACTGACTACACCGTGTTTGCCATTATTAAGATATTTCACTCTCAGTAACAAATACATGCGGATATAGGGGTATAGCCTGAATGAATGCCAGTATAAGATACGGGGCGGTGGGGTAGCCTAGTGGTTAATGCGTTCGTTCGTCACGCCAAAGACCCGGGTTCGATTCCCCACATGGGTACACTGTGTGAAGCCCATTTCTGGTGTCCCCCGCCGTAATATTGCTGGAATATTGTTAAAAGCGGCGTAAAACTAACCTCAAACTCGGTATAATATACTACCAAAACTGGTGTTTTTAATATGAGGTGAATGTCCAGGAACATGCGGTTGACATGATTGATGTGGGGAAAACGCTTCCGAGTCAAGCTCCACACTACACCATTCAGAAAGTCATGAAGCACGTGTCCTCAGACAGCAGATTTACCACGCAGATTTACTGGCTCGGATGTGAGCAAACGGATAGTGCTTAGAACCAAATACTCAAAGACATTTTATTAATCACATTTAATCATTAAGGAAGAAACAGTATTGGTCGTGTGGCAATTGCAAAGCTCTGGACGTGTATGTTCCGTCGACGTAATGAGGGGGACACACGTTAGAATACTGTTGCCCAAATATGTTTCTCAAATCTGACTTCAGGTTATTGTGGAGCTGATGCAAACAAACACATAACGTGGACGCCACCTCTGTGGGCGCCCAGGGGCAACAACTCCATCACAGGTTTGATTAGACAGAACGATGGAAATACGACACCAAGATAACAGGCTAGTTGCACAGAGTGTCAGAGTAC